GCAGACACGCCTTCCATTCCAGGAGGCTCCTAAGCCTGGAACGGGTCACTGTACAGGAGCGAGGCGTCTGACACAGGGACGGTGGCTCCTTCTGTTCGTCCTATGCCCAACTGAGGGGGCTGTTTTGTCCTCTGTCCACACCCCCTGCCCACCCCCTTCTCCTGCGGCCCCGTCCGGGCCACCAGTGCTTGTGTGTCCCCTGGACGTACGTGCGATTCAAGAGGCTCTATGGCTTTCAAGGTTGCGTGTGTGCTGCACGTGGGGGAGACCCCGGAGCCGAGCTGTGCCTCATGCCCAAGCTTCCAGACCTGGGCAGGGCACTGAGGTCCGGCCGCCCACGCCCAGTGGGGACGGTGCTGTTCCAGCTGCTGATAACGCTCATCCCGGACTCTTAGAGAACGGGGTGTGGGCGCCCGGGTTCATGTCCTGCGGCCGCTGGAGGTTGGCCCCTTTCATCCGACCCCTTTCCGAGTGCTCACAGCCAGGCGGGTGACCTGGGGAAACACACTGTACGGACTTGCCTTCAGGCTGTGGGAGCTTCTTTCTGGTTCCGGATTCCAGATACAGCGGGCTTCATGTTCGGAGCTCAGAAGTCTTTGGATCAGGAAAGAAGGCTGCTGTGGGAGCTCCCCTCCCAGCCCCAGCCCTTCTAGGAGGAACTCTGGAACTGTCTGCGGGATTTGCTTCCCTTCTAGCACCTTCCGGATGCAGGGTCCCAGGGCATCTCCTTGTCTCACTGCACGTATATTAGCACCTGCCTCAGGACTGTCAAGCAGTGAGGGAGATCACCCACGAAAAACACCCAGCACCGGACGGAGCCCCTGTTTTGCAACCCTGGGGGGTGGGTTATTGCAGTGTGTGTCTAGGGCAACGCCAGCATCTCGGGCTTGCCGGGTTCTGTAAGCTCTGTGTCCCTTAGTAAAGTGTGGACACGTGCGTGTTTCCGTCTCTGTGAGCAGGGAATGAGGAACATAGGGACTCATAAGCCAAACGGTCCTCGGAAACCGAGGCACTGTCCTAGAAACAGAGGACTGTTCTAGAATGCTGAGCCGAGTCCCTGAGGACGAGGCCTGCGGGATGGAACCGGGTTCAAGGAAAGATGGGCCCCGGCAGACCCGGGCGGGGGGAGGGGATTTGGGGGAGCGAGGGCGAGAGTGTCGCAGGGGCAGAAAAATCCTTCCAGATGGACTGGGAACTAAATTGACGTGAGATGGGTCAACGGGATGAAAAACCCAAAGCTTTGATCTGTGTGCACGAGGCCTAATAATAAAACTGAGACCTAAGGAAGAGACCAAGACAGGCAGTTTTTATACTTTTTAGACAGAGAAGCACTAAATTTGTGAGAAATTGGCAGGATAAAGAAAACAGATGTTTGGGGGATTTGTTTACTTATTTATTCATTTATTTCTTTTTAAGTTACATCGAAGTTAGCTAGCATATAGCGCAACAATGATTTCAGGAGTAGATTCCAGTGATCCATCCCCTACGTATAACCCCCAGTGCTCATCCCAACAAGTGTCTTCCTTAATGCCCCTTCCCCGTTTAGCCCAACCCCCTCAAGATCCCTCCAGCAACCCTCAGTTTGTTCTCTGTATTTAAGAGTCTCTTATGGGGGCGCCTGGGGGGCTCAGTCAGTTAAGCGTCCGACTTCGGCTCAGGTCATGATCTCACGGTTCGTGGGTTCGAGCCCCGCGTCGGGTTCTGTGCTGACTGCCAGCTCAGAGCCTGGAGCCTGTTTTGGATTCTGTGTCTCCCTCTCTCTCTGACCCTCCCCCACTCATGCTGTGTTTCTCTCTGTCTCAATAATAATAAACATTAAAAAAAATTTTTAAAGTAAGTTTTCATGTTTTGTCCCCTTACTTGTTTTTATTATTTTTGCTTCCCTTCCTTTATGTTCATCTGTTTTGTATCTTAAGTTCCTCTTATGAGTGAAGTCATATGAGATTTGTCTTTCTCTGACTGACTAATTTCACTTAGGATAATACCCTCTAGTTCCATCCATGTAGTCGCAAATGGCAAGATTTCATTCTTTTTGATGGCCGAGTACTACTCCATTGTATATATATACCACCTCTTCTTTATCCATTCATCGGTCAGTGGACATTGCGGCTCTTTCCATACTTTGGCTGTTGTCGATGGTGCTGCTGTGAACATTGGGGTGCATGTGGGTGGCCCTTCAAAACAGCACCCCTGTATCCCTTGGATAAATACCTAGTAGTGTCATTGCTGGGTCGTAGGGTAGTTCTATTTTTAATTTTTTGTTTTTCCAGAGTGGCTGCACCAGTTTGCATTCCCACCGGCAGTGTGAAAGTGTTCTACTTTCAGCGTCTGGGAGCTTTGACTAGTAAAGAATTCTAAGTGCAATTTGGACCTAGGTAGGAGATTATCAAAACGTTAACATGGTTGTTTATTCAGCCTTCTTGGCTCTAGATTTCCTGTCTCTGGTGATGAAGATGTCTTTTTGCTTCTCAGTACCGACAGCGCACCTTTTATGTGGGAGATTTACTTCTTGCTCTCTGGGGCCACGGGAGGGTCTCAGTGACCTTACACCAGAGGCTTCCCAAGTAGCTTTAATGTAAAATAATCAACACGCCATTTTGGTGGCCTGCCCTTGGCCACTAGAGCGTGGAGATACTGAGTGCTTCAGGAAGTCACCCCCTGAAGCTGAGGAGAGAGAGGAGGCTGTTCCCAAGGGGGTGTGCGGTAGACAGAATAGCGCCCCCCAGCGACGCCCACGTGATGGCACCCGGTTCCACTGCAAAGGGGAACTAAGGATGCAGACAGAAATAAGGTTGCGGATGAGCCGACCTCACAGCGGGGCCCAGCCTGGGTTGTCCAGTGGCCTGATTTCGTCACAAGGCCCCTACGAGGGGAAGAGTGAGGCGGAACTGAGAGCAGGGGCGAGCCAGCCATTGCTGGATCTGCGGGCCAGAGGAAGCAGCAGATATGCAGGCAGCATCGGGAGGGTGAGGGTACAGGAAATGGGTTCCCACCCAGAGCTGCAGGAGGAAGGGACGCATCCCAGAGACCCCGGGTCAGATCTCTGACCTCTGGAACCGTAGGAAGTAAAACTTGCAACTTTCATGGGTTAGGCCACCAAGTTCATGGTAATTTGTCACAGTAACGACGGGAAACCCCCACGGGATGTGTGGGGTCCAGGTAGGAGACCCTGAGCGTGTCCTAGGGCTCTCTGGCGGGTGGGTAAAGCTGCCGTGTGGGTAAAGCTGCCGTGTGGGTTGACGCAGATCCAAGTTTCCGTGTTGGATGCAGAAGGCAGAGCTGGCCTGTCACGTCAGGGCACGGAGAGGGCACTGTTTGGTAACCATAGCTGGAAACCGGGTTGTGCCCGTGGAGGAAGATGACCCCGGGCCCCTGCCTCACACCACACTGGACAGAGGACCGCTCCGGGGTTTGGGCGACGTCAGGCCTCCCGGTGAGGCCTCCTGGGGGGCGAGCGGCAGCTCCTCACGGACGCCCCCACCTGAACGGGCAGTGAGCACTTCCAAGGCGCGTGAGGCTTTTGGACCCACAGCGGTGACAATGCCTTTGTCGGTGAAACAGAAACCACAGCCACGAACCAAGAGCAGGGACTTGAGCAGACACGTGCACACGCATGTCCAGGGCACCATCGTTCACAGCAGCCAAAGGTGGAGGCCACCCAAGGGCCCACGGGTAGATGCGCGGACAAACAAAGGGTCTAGGCACACGATGGAGCATTATTCTGACACCCGCTGAGTCAAGGATGAAACGTGAGGACGTGGAGCCAGCCACAGAGGGACAAACGCTGCACGATCCCACTAATGTGAGGTCCCTTGAGGGGTCAGTCGCAGACACAGCAGGGAGGGTGGTGGGTGCTGGGCGCCAGGGCAGGGGCATGGAAGTTCGCGTTTAACGGGGCCAGTTTTCGTTTGGAATGACCAAAGCAGTCCTGCAGACGGATGGCGGTGACGATTGTAGGCCTCACTGGAAGGGTGTTACTCCGTACCCCTGACCTGTACGCTTACAGGTGGTTAGAATGGTAAATTTCAGGTTGTCTATGTTTTACCGTAATAATAATAAAAAAGAGCTCTCGCTCTGGCAGCACGTGTACTAACACCGGAGAGACACGGAGATGAGCAGGGCCCCTGCGCAGGGACGACACATAACTTCGGGACGTGTTCCGTACATTTAAAGCCCGTTTTTAAAAAAACAGCTATGATTATTTCTTCTTTAATGACAGATTTTTTTCAAGGCTATTTATTTATTTTGAGAGAGAGAGAGAGAGAGAGCAAGTGAAGGAGGGGCACAGAGAGAGGGAGAGAGAGAGTCCCAAGCAGTCACACTGTCAGCACAGAGCCTGGAGCAGGGCTCGAATTCACAAACAGTGAGATCACCACCTGAGCTGAAACCAAGAGTTGTATGCTCAACTGACAGAGCCACCCATGTGCCCCAAATGACAGATTTTTTAAAAATCCTAACAAGTGGGCGCCTGGGTGCCTCAGTCAGTTGAGCATCCAGCTCCCGATCTCAGCTCAGGTCGTGATCTCACAGTTTGTGGGTTTGAGTCCCACGTCGGGTTCTGTGCTGACAGCTCAGAGCCTGGAGCCTGTTTCAGATTCTGTGTCTCCCTCTCTCTCTGACCCTCCCCTGTTCATGCTGTCTCTATCTCTCTCAAAAATAATAAAACATTAAAAAAAAATCCAAACAAGAGTTTATTCTCACTTTTTGACAGCAATGATGGCGTGGAAGTGTGGTAGTGGTGGTGATGGTGGTCCACTGTGACCACAGGCTTCACGTGCTCTGCCTAACTTAGTGACTTCGCTCTGACCTGGGGTTGACCCAAGAAGTCAGGGAAGCATTCCTGGACTAAACAGGGAGACAACCACCTCCATCTTTGTCCTGGTCAGTGAAATCTGGGGACTCCTAAAAAACATGAACAAACATATTTTTAAACGCAGAGGAAATTTCCCTGGCAGTCAGCAACTTCCTCCTTTGTTTCTTTTGTTTGGAAGAGAGAGTAAAGCTCCTGGTGACTCAGAAGGCTGAGAGGGAGTCTGTGGGGCCGGGCCACTGCCAGGCTCAAGGGCAGTGAGATGAATCTATTCAGAAGGAAGGACAGCTCGGGCAGGAAGAAACCCTTGCTCAGAAGAGAAGCGGCTGGCAGTGAGCATGAACGAATCCTGCTCGATGAGGCTCAGGCACACGGGAAACAGCCCAGAGGCCACTCTTTCCGTCTGGGAAGGGGGTTTCTGAACTTTCTGGGAGGATGGCACAGAAGGCACAGAAATAAAGAACCCGAAGATGTCATTCATCTGACAGAAACTTCCAAAGGTATGGGTGTCGTCCTTGAATGTGGCAGGAGGTGTGTTTCTTCATCTTTTGCTCACTTACTCTGCCCTTCATCCACTAGGTCCTGCTCACCACCCTCCTACGTGTCACTGGCGGGGCCTGGAGGGAGCGGGGCTGGCTTGCTCCAGGTCACTACCTGCCCCGCAGCGGCTGTCACGGGGCCGGGCCGCTGAGCCCAGGGGGCCCCTGAGCCCAGGGGGCCCCTGACACGTGCCGGAGGCGGGGGGGGGGGCAAGGAAAGCACCAGAACAGAGCAAACCAGCCTGTAGTCGTCCTGCTTGTGAGACACCCCTCGTAGCGGGCTACATGCAAACCGCGCTTCGAAGCTGACAAAACCAAGGCTCGGGGGCATCGAGTCACACAGCAAGTGAGCGGGTCAGGTTCAAATCCAGGCTAGCAGAGCTGGCTGCTCGGCTGTGCCCCCAGCGCTCAGGCTGCAGGAGAGGGAGAAGAGGAGCCCGGGTGGGGCTGGAGCTGGGGGGGTGTGAGCCATACGCGTGTCCCAGCGTGGGTCTGCGCCAGAGAAGCTCACGGAATGGCCTTGAGTGGAAGCGCAGGGCTGAGCTGCTGTTTGTTAAGGCTACGGGACCTAGTGCGCTTGTGGGAGGGTCTGGTTTTTTGGGAGGAGCTGGTACGTTTCTGATCTGGGGAATGTTTTCTTGATGCTTCAGGTTTCCCATGAGGTCAGTGGGAAGTTCCAGAATCACAATGGGAGTGTGGGGTTCTGGGGGGGTGAGGTCTCACCAGCTGCCTTTGTATCCCTGGTGCCTGGATGGTGACGGGCATCGTCACCCAAGAGGGGACAAGTGTTTGTTGGCAGATTCACAGGCGATGGGATCTGTGAGGGTCTCCCATATTCTCGCTAGCCCTGTGCCCGGTGACACGGCATCCTTGCCAGGAGGGCCACTTTTCAGTTTCCTTCACCAGCTGTGGCTGGCCCCACGGGCTGCTGACCTGTGACACGGGCTGCTGACCTGTGACACCGGGAGACGGTCAGCTGGCCTGGAACAGCCAAGCCGTGCGTGGCCCGATGGGCCTGCACGGGGCATGTGTGAACGCAGCGGGGGGCTTCCCTGGCCTTTGGCTGCCTGGCCCGTGCCCACAGCAGCATCGGCATGGTCATATTCGTAGGAAGCCTGGGAGACCTCAGGACTCTGTAAGGGCAAGTCTTCTGGTTTCAGGTAGGGGGATCATGACCCCCTACCCAGAAAAGAGCCAGGTTGGTGTGGGATAAACTGGAATCCTGTGTTGGAGGGAGAGGGGCCAGTGTGTCCTAGATTATCGCTGTCTGAAGAGATAGAGCGTGAGCCAGGCAGTAATTTAAAGTTTTCAGGAGTCACAGTAAATAGATAAAAAGAAATGGGTGAAATTAATTTTAGTAATATCTTATATTCAGCACAATGGAGCCAAGATAGTACTTCAACGTGTTTCAACATTCAATCCTTATTAAAATTAAGGTATGTTACATTCTCCGCACCTCCCTCCCCTTCCCCCCCCCCGCCCCCCAGGTTAAGTCTTTGAAATCTGGTGTGTGTTTCACGCTGACAGCACAGCTCAGGTTTGACGTTTCGAGGGCTCAGTAACCACGGGTGGCTTGGGGCTGCCGTGCCAGGTGGCCCAGCTCTGGAAGGAAGGGGCATGCTGTCCAGGTAGCCCCTGCCCCTGGGGACAGCATAGAGATTCCAGGGGCCACGGTTCCTATTTCCATCTAATCTAATTAATTACTATCAACGAGAAGTAGACAGGGAATCTTCACCCTCAGAATAGTAAAATGCTGTTGAAGGCTGTCCTGCTTTGGTTCAAAATAATTTCCATCCCACATTCCACTCCTCCTCAGCTCTTTGTATTGTTCTAAGTTCAGCTGCTTCCCTGGGAGACCCAGCAAACTGGTGGACTAATTAATATAAAGCAAGATGAAACATGCTTCTCTCATGGAAGATTTGGGGAGGTGGTCCAGGGCTCCTCTGTGCCCAGGGACCCAGACCCCCCCATTGGACCATGTGGGGTTCCTGTCCAGGCCCAGGATGGCCGCCCAGCCCCTGGCACCACGTGAGCATTCTAGCTGTGAGGAAAGAAGACCAGGAAAGGGGCAGCAGGCACGCGTTCACCCTTGACGACAGAAAGGTGCTCTGCCTTAACTTCAAATATAGCCCTCCCGTTCTGAAGTTTCCAGGGAGAATTAAAAGTTCAAAACTGCCCCTTTAAGTTGAAGTCCATAAGAATAGGTGTCCAAGTGTTCAAGTGCTCTGGACAACCCTCCCCTCCCCCACCCCCCAAATTCCTCTTTCGGATTTGTCTCATCAGAGCCTGCCTCCTGAGGCTCCAGGCTGCAGCGTCTTGCTGAGGCTCTTGGGGGCACAAAGTGGAATTCTTCCCTTCAGATTCCTTCCTCCTGGCAGATGACCAGCTCTGTTAGCACCCCTGGGAACCTGTCAGAAATGCACATGTGGGGGCGCCTGGGTGACTCAGTCGGTTAAGCGTCCGACTTCAGCTCAAGTCATGATCTCACGGTTTGTGGGTTCTGTGCTGGGTCCATGGGTTTGTGGGTCCGCATCGGGCTCTGTGCTGACAGCTCGGAGCCTGGAGCCTGCTTCCGATTCTGTCTCTGTCTCTCTCTGCGCCTCCCCTGCTCACGCTGTCTCCCCCTCTCTCAAGAATAAATATACATTTAAAAAAATTAAAGAAAAGAAATGCACATGCCACCCTGGGCTTGCGTGAGCCCCCCAGGCGGTCCTGATGGGCATTCCTTCTGAGAACATCTTCCACTGCCTCTGTCCATCTTCCACTGCCTCTGTCGGCCGCCCCTCTCTGTGCCTGTGGTGGGGAGACTGCCTTTGCCGCCTCATCGTGGGTTAACAAGGCTCCGCTGATGAAAGCGCAGACCATAAGTCGCCTGGGAGCTTAGAGGCTCATGGAAAGGAACTGTCTGTGTGAAGCTTTTCTGCTGCAGAGGCCACCGTGGAAAGCCTGCTGGTCTTCCGGAACCACTGTAACAAACTCATGTCCTGCTGACCCCGGAGGCCACAGGCCCCTCCCAAAGCTCTTCAGCTCAGCCCACACCCACCCTACTCCAGTGAAGAATCCTGGGCTGGCACCCCTCTCCCTCCCCAGTTCCCCTGTTCTTCCAAGCCCCCCCCCTCAAGCTGAGCCATTCTTTTGGGTTCTTTCTTTCCAGGCTTCCAGCAGCTGCTCCAGGAGGGGCAGTTCCTGCAAGCCTACCTGAGCATCTCGGAGTCGGAGCAGGAGGGGCAGGACTGCGGCCCCCAGTACCAGGCTGTGGCCCAGAGCATGTGGCAGGTGGTGCAGCAGGCTCTGCAGGGGGCCGGGCACAGCAAGGAGCTGGAGCTGAAGCTCCAGGCAGTACTGGCCACTGTGGAGCAGGCGCAGCACAAGCCCCCGGGCCCGGAGGCTGAGACCCTCGAGGATGGCGGCGGCGTTGCCGCCTGGGGCGGGCAGCTGGAGAGGCTGCTGAGAAGGGACGCCGAGGCCCGAGTGCCCAGGTTGGACCCCAGGAACCAGCTGGGCCCGTTCCTGGAGAAGCTAGGGGAGGCCGTGAGACAGGGCCTGGGGTCCCAGAGGGCAAGCCGGCTGGGGACCCGCCTCTGGGCGAGCTACAGGGTCTGCTTCCAGGAGGCCCTCCTCGGCCGCCTCGCGGAGCTCACGCAGTCCTGCGGTGCCAACTGGAAGAGCTACTGCGAGCTGTACACCTGGGGCAAGGAGGCCCTGTTCGGGCAGCTGGGGTGAGTGCCCCTGGGCGAGGGCCCCTGGGCCAGGGCTGCGATCAATGCAGGGCCTTTCAAGGGCCCTCCTGGGCAGGACTGGTGGCCGGAGAAGGGCGGATGCAGCCCCGCCTCGGGGACAAGCGTGTGCACACACGTGTGTTAGTGTGCATGTATGCGTGTGTCGGTGTGTTTGTTGTGTGCAGGGGCGTTAGCACGTTAGGGTGTGTTTGTGCGTGTGCGGGGGCTCACGGTCACACCTGTGTGACTACTGAGACTGGCCTACGCCAACACAGCCTCTCGCTGCTGTTTCTCACTCCCGGCTGCCCTCTCCAGTGCCTGGGCCTTGTGCAGGGGTGAGGGGCGGGCAGCACAGGCTGGGGAGGGGGCGAGGCTGGCCTGGAGTCCTGGCTGGCGCGGAGTTGTCCTCCACTGCCCAGCCCCTCCCCCAAGCCCAGCTCGGCTCTGGGCCCCTCATGGCTCCTTCCAACCCAGCCAGGAGAGCTTTCTGAACGCACCTTCTGCCGCCCCGGAGCCCACGGTTGGGCACCTCTTGGACCCCATGATGTTTGTGACCTGGATGTCCCAAAGGCAGGAGGAGCTGGTGAGGCTGACCCAGGTAAATAGATCCAGGAGTATCTGCCACCTAGAAGCCTCCTCGCCGTGCATCTGGTGGACAGCAGGAAAGGGGATGGGCCAGGGTGGGCCCCGGGGGGTGGGCTTGAGCCAGAGCCCGAGTCCACTCCTAGGGCTGTGGGGGTGGTGCCGGGCCGGTTCTGGCCCTTGAGCTTGGTCACGTGGGAAGTAACCGTGTGCCGTGGGTCTGAGGTGTGAGGTGTATCGCGGGCCCAGAGAGAGAGCACCGACCAGAGGTTGCTGCCTTGACCAGTGAGTGCAGTCCGGCCTCTTCTACGCTGGGGGCTGTAGGGTGGGGCCAGTGAGCCTCGGGTGGAAAGCCAGCCGCCCCAGGGTGGGTGCATATGGTTAATCCTTGGCAGACAGAGAGGACTTAAGGGGACATCACAATTTCTACTATGATCTTTTTTTTTTTAATGTTTATTCATTTTTGAGAGAGAGTGTAAGTGGGGAGTTGCAGAGAAAGAAGGAGACAGGATCTAAGTGGGCTGTGTGCTGACAGCACAGAGCCTGAGGCGGGGCTGGAACTCACAAACCAGGAGATCATGACCTGAACTGAAGTCAGACGTGAAACCAGCTGAGCCACCCAGGCATCCCTAAGATCATTTTTTCCCTTTTTTTTAGGTTTATTTATTTTTTAGAGAGATAGAGTGCAAGCAGGGGAGGGGCAGAGAGAGAGACACACACACAGAATCTGAAACAGGCTCCAGGTTCCAAGCTGTCAGCACAGAGCCTGACGCAGGGCTCGAACCCACAAACAAGGAGATCATGACCTGCGCTGAGCTCGGATGCTTAGCTGACTGAGCCACCCAGGCGCCCCAGGATCATTTTTAACAAACGTGATTTCCCATAATGGCATTCCTGGTGTTGGCTCAGACAGGTGAAGAGTCACGGACCCCGTGGAGGAGACATTGGGGCGCAGCAAAGCCCTCTACCTTTCCCAGCTAACAGACTGAGGAATAAGCTTTACGACCGTGAAGTAGAGGATTGGTATCGGTTTAACAGGAATTTTCCAGTAACTGGTATATAAGCACCTAGCCTTTTCCTTGCCTGCACACTCAGGGCTTTGAGTTTCGAGGTCCCTTGTCCTTCGCGGCTCTCCCGGAAACTGTGGGGTCACCGCCTGCACCGAATTAAGGAAGACGGGGTTCATCATTCCTTGCTCTTCCACGCTCCAGCCGTCGAGGGCTGTACTGCCCTGTCAAGTGGTTAATTCAGACAGGCGGCCAGCATGCAAGTGACAGCGTGGCCTTCTGGGCCGTCATGTGGGGATGTCAGCGAGAGGGACGATGCCAGGCGCCCATGCCGGGCAAGGCCTAGCATCCGCTGAAGTGTTATCCGGTTCCTCTTCCTGTCCAGGCAGCCAGACACAGGCCTCCTGCAGGGCTAGGAGTGGAAAAGTACTGAGCGCTGAGTTGGTGGAGAGAATCCACTTGTAGGCTGTCCCTTTCTGCAGAGAAGGCCACGGCCTGCCAAGGGACCCCAGTAAGCAGGCCTCCAGATGGAGGTGCCTGGGCTAGGAATGAGACCTGGCTGGGGGCACGGGCAGCCAACCTGAGTCCCCCCTCCCCCCACCTCACTGTGTTGGCCAAGCAGCAAGCCGGGGTGAGGAGGGCAGCGTCCCCCCGGAACCTGCTAGGGACAGCCTCCGTCATGCCGGGGGTTGGGCCTGAGAGGCCACACTCAGGTTTCTGGCCAGGAGCTGGTGTCCAGGCCCCGGGGCTCCCTGGTGCAACCTGGTCCCCAGTGGTCCATGGCCCGTGTGTCCCCCAGCTGTGTGTCCCTGGACCCTGGGGCCCCCAGGAGTGGTAGCTCCCATCACCCCCCCCTCGGGAAATGAGTGCATGGGGATGGGAGCAGTGGCCTCGCCAGGAACAGGGAGGAGGGTGCTTCTCGAGGGTGCTTCACGGACCACCCATGATGCACAGCGGGCAGGAGGCTGTGAAGGAGAGGGTTACTCAGAGCTGGGTCTGGGGGTGGGGGGATTTCAGGCCGCGGGTCGGAGGGTTCCTGGGCGGGCTCTGGTTCTTGCTCTCTGGTCCTCAGCTGGGGTGGAAGCTGTGTGCCCTGGAGGGAGCAAGGGAATCGAAGTTGCTCTTACTGTTTTCTGGGCAGGAAAGGCTGGAGCAGGCTCTGGGGAAAGTCCTGAGCTGCGACCGGAGACAGTGGGCCCAGTCCTCCTGCCCGACGTTCCTGGAGATCCTCCAGGTACTCACCAGGCGGCGTCTTTCCAGCCACCGCGTGGGCCCCTGGCCCTTTCCTGAGCACCCCGCCCGGTGGGGAGGGGGCGGAAGGAAAGGGTGCTGGGGGGCGATGACTGATGGGCGGTCGGGCGCATGAGCAGCAAGGACGGCGTCAGTGACTGAGGGCGCGAGCACAGGCAGATGGGGTCCCGGTGTGGGGCGGCGAGGCGTATACTGAGGGGGGAGGCCTCTTGCTGGAACGTGTCAGCTCATGGGCCTGCCCGGGCCTCAGGTAGGACCTGCCGAGAGACCAGTGTCTGGGGACGCCTGGATAAGAGGGTCGAGCAGCCATGGGGGTGAAGGATGTTTGGCCCCGGAGGAGAGGCCACTGTGCGGGGGGGGTGGGGGGGGGCTTTTTGTCTTTAGAGGATCTCTGCTGGGAGTTTCTGTGACTTCTCTTGACTGCTCAGGGTTGAGGGAGAAAAGAAGATGGTATGCATCCTCAAGGCCTTTATGCCAAGAAGCCCTGTTCAGAGTGTCGGGTGGGGGACTGGCAGCTTCCGGGGGAGCCGAGGCAGCCTCTGGGCCACGCGTGGGCAGGAGGAGGTCCTTCAGGCTGGCTGACTGCAGGACACAGCGGGGGGTTCCAGGGAGAGAGCCTGCCAGGGCGGGTGTGGCCGGGAGGGGCCGTGAGGGCCTGGGGGGAGGCATCTGCTCTGTGCTATGGGCAGCAGGCAGCTGCGGTGGGGCTGTGGGGACGGCCCCTGCATGCCAGCCCTTCCTGTAACGACAGCTGTGACAGGTCAGAGTCGGGAGAGGACATTCTCCCAGGGTCCACTGTCTGTGTGATTGGGTCTCTCCCCACTGAGAGCCCGCTCGCTTTGACCGGCAGCTGCTGGAAGAAACCATAGATGCAGCACGGCCCATTGGACTAACGATCACCAGCCAGGTTCAAGCCATGGTTCTGGAAACATTTTCAAAGTTTCTGAACAGGTCAGTGAAAAGGTGGTTGTTGCCTAGAGAAGGTGGCTGGGTCCACCTGACCCCAGTTAGAGTGCTAACTGAGCCTCTGACCGCTGGCTACCACGTGCTTGGCCAGTGCCTGGAGCAGGAAAAGGGGTCAGCATTGGCTTCAGGTGACCCCAGTCTGGCCTGCTTCACCTCTGCCTGGCTCTGGTGGTGGCCCCTGCGTGCCTGTGGAAATGTCCCATGGTGGCACCTTCCGACATGGCAGCTCCAGCCTCCTGTGGCTATCAAACCAGTTTGGGTTTGGGGACTCCAGTTAAATTTAATTTTAGCTAATTGACCTTTAAACACCACACATGGCTGGGGCTCCCATGCTGGATGGCAGGATTGGGAGGAAGCGGAAGCCCAGCAGGGCAGGTGGAACATGCAGGTGGAATTCTGTTTTTATTTAAAACTTAGTATTTTGCTCATCATGGATGTTTTGGATTGATTTTGATTTCTTAATATATTTCATCAAAATATTATCTTGGGGGCGCCTGGGTGGCTCAGTTGGTTGAGTGTCTGACTCTTGATCTTGAGCTCAGGTCATGATCTCGTCTTTCATGGGATCGAGACTTGCATTGGGCTCCTTGCTGAGCATGGAGCCTGCTTGCAATTCTTTCTCTCTGCCCCTCCCCCACCCCAATAAATAAGCATTAAAATAACTGATCTTGGTCAGGGACCTAGTAGATTACTATGTCCCCATTTCCTCTGCGTTTAGCCACCAAACGCCTGAGCCACACACCCAGCTCTGCCCCAGCCTCAGGGTTTGGGTGGGGACTCTGCGTCTTTCCTGACGGGCTGGGGCTGGGGCGAGGCCCAGGGTTGCAGCTCCTTGGGCCCCTGTGAGTAAGAAGCATGTCTTGGACAAAGCGCTGTGTAGACCACACCACGAGGCTCCTTTCTCTGGGGCCTTCAGTGGCTGTGTTCAGCTGGGCCAGGCTCCATAAAGGGCGAATGTGAGGCAGGTTACTCAGGAGAGGCCAGGGATGTGGATTTTCAGGTGAAATCAGCTAGGTTTTAAACGTTTAAGAAAATGTTGCTGGGCGGCCAGTTTGATCTGTGTTCCAGGGACTCAGACACATGAGGGCACCCCTTCTTTCCTGCCTTCGGGGAGCAGGGGGTGTGTGCTGCCCCCCAGCCTCTCCCTGCTCTCTGCTTTGGAGCACCTTCAGTGGCTCAGCCCAGGCGCGGGGTGCCAGCCTCCTCTTCTTGAGAGCACCCCCAGGCCTGACCAGACTTTGAGGACGGCAGCTCCAGCGGGGGCCAGGAGCACTGCCTCGGCTGCCTGCCTCTTCCTTCACCAGCCGGGGAGGGAGGGCTTCTCAAATACAGCGTTAGCTGCCGTTCCAAGGCCGTAGGAAAAAACCACTCCCATCCTGTTCTCAAGCATCTACCACACGTGGTCATCGAGAGCATTCAACGAAAATGTTTTTAGGAAGCATTTGGCTGTGGGTCTGGCACAGAGCCAGCCCAAGTAATCCTGGCTGCCTTGTCAACATGTCGGCCACTGCCACCCACATTTGGGGTTCTGTGAAGGAAGCAGCAGTTAGGTGGAGAAGGACCTGGCCTTTGGGGCTGCGGCTGGTGGGAGGGGCCTGCGGCCGGTGGGAGGGGCCTGCAGCTGGTGGGAGGGGCTGCGGCTGGTGGGAGGGGCTGCGGCCGGTGGGAGGGGCCTGCAGCTGGTGGGAGGGGCTGAGGCTGGTGGGAGGGGGCTGCGACTGGTGGGAGGGGCTGCGGCTGGTGGGAGGGGCTGCGGCTGGTGGGAGGGGCTACATGTCCACCTTCACCCTGCAGGTACCAGGCCGAAGCTATCCGCTTCTTGCAGCAGAACGCCCCTGCGGGGGCCTTCCCCGAGGTGCACTTGCTGCGAAACTGCTGCATCCTCAGGTGCGTGGGGGCGGGGCCCATGGGCTCAGGCAGGCTAGGCAGCAGGCCGATCCGTGTGCTCCGCAGATTTGCTGCCATCTGTGAAAAAAGTGGAGAAGAACACCCCCGCCTGAGTTTAGAATTGCATCATTTCGTAGGGAAACATCAGGTACCGACAGCATCATCTGCCTCAGGGAGGGGAGTTTTCCACTGTACCTTTTGCATTTTAAGGCCCGTGGATACAACAGTCTGTAAATACAGACAGAAACAACAGTGGGATGGGATAGACAAGCATCTGTCCCGGGGTGCACAGAGGGGCACCGGTGTGGCCGGTGTGCTCTGGGCCAGGCACCAAGGACCCCTTCTGGTTGCCCCAACAGGAAAACGTGGCAGGAGCTGAGCCAGGCACACGTTCCACCCGCAGACCTGGGCCCCGCTGTGGAGGGCGCCATCCACGTCATTGAGGACCACAGCCGGGACCACCTCCTGCCTAGAGTCAGAGCCCTGTGCCAGGTGATGCCACCCCTGCCCCAGCCCTGGAGTGGAGTCTCCTCTGTTCCCAGAAAACCTGGGCAAGAGGCGCCTGTCTATGTCTTCCTGGGCTTCGGCCAGCCCAGCAGAGCCTTTGCTGGGGAGGGACGTGGCACCCGTGACAGACTGGGCTGGAGATGTTCCTGGTCAGGCCCTCTGACCCCCAGCCCGACTTCTCTGTTTGCGCCAGAGGGGCAGGGCCAGCTTCCTGTCTGACCTGAGGGAGAGGTTCTGTCCGTCTGGGTGAGTGGGCTTAGCTTGGCCTCCCTGCCACTTTATGAGGCCTGGCCCCCTCCTCACTGAGGGTACCTCCCTCTGTCCCCTCTGGCCAGACCTCTCTTCCTTTCTCCACCTGTGAAATTACTTTCCGGCCAGGCCAGCTGAGGCCTGACACTGGCTCCCCTCCCCCCTCCCTCCCCCCTGGCTCTGGCCTGGCTGTGTTGAAGCCCTGAGAGGGCAAGGTGGCCTCCTAGGATGTGGAAACCACAGGAGGGAATTTTCTGTTCAAATTAGGGGCTCAGGGCCCTGTCCTCATGGGGGCCTCCTGGGTGGAAGATGGGAGGTGATGGTGGGTACTCCATTCCTGCAGCTCTAGCCAGTGATTCATTTTGCCCCATGGGGACTGGCTCCTGAGACAACTGTCTTTGGATTTTCCGCAGAGTTGAGCATCTGGGAAGACCCAGAGAGGTCATATCCTCCCAGGATGGCCAACATCCTGCCCTTGCCTCTCCCTGGGCTGTGGCAGACATTGCTAATCAATCCCAGCATTCTGGCCCATCCAGAGCCCTGGGGTTCTTCTACACACAGAGCTCCAGGCAGGCAGAGCTCATGGATTAGACTTGGCACCATGTTTTACAGATGGCGCCCACGAGGTTGCATCAGGCGGGGCAGGGGGGCGGGTAGAGGGCTGCAGGGTAGCGGGGATGGGACTTGCTTAGGTCGCCTGGTAGAAGACCAAGTAGGCAGGCTTTGCCCCTCTGCCCATCCTCTCTGGCGTCCACTGAGAACTGAGCAGGCCCCTGTCCCATGCCTCGGGAGTCTGATCTGGAGGGAAAGCATCATCGAGGTCTGGTGGCAGGCCAGTCCTGTGGGGACCAAGGGGGAAGGGGAGGGACCCAGGGGACTCGGGAGGGCTCGAGGGAAAAGCTTGCGTCAAGGGCTGTAGTCTGAATCTGGGATGCTCTCAGAAATCATCAGGAGGAGGGTGGACAGAGCTGTTAGGACAGACAGTGGGTGAGCTTCTGGCGCAGGATTGTCCCCTTGGTGGGGAGAGGCAGGGGCTCAAGGCTGGAGGAGGCAGGGAAGGTTGGGAGTGAGAACAGCCAGCCGGGCACCTCGGCATCCATGACATTGGACCCTCCTGTCCTCAGAGTCTGCTGAGGGACCACTTCGGGAGGAAGGACAAGGATCTGGTCCACGCTGTGCAGTCTCTGTGCCAGGGCCTGAGGGGCTGTCCCAGCTTGCACTCCACTCCCATGTATGAGGTAGGCAGCCGATTTGGAGACGACTGGCTTGCTGGTGGTCACCCCGAGAAGCTGAAGCAGGCACCCCAAAACCTGGTGGTAGGCGTTCGACATGCCTAGTGGTGGGGACAGGCCTCCAACAGACCCGTGCTGGAGGAATTTGAGTAGCATCCAGCCACCCTCCGTCCCTGAGGGTGCACCACTAAGGCTGGCGAGATGGTGACCTGGGACAGCTCTCACTCAGGCCTCTCTGTCCCGTCTCTTTGGAGGGCAGAGCATTATGCGAAGTTTGCACATGGTGGTCTTTGGGGAGTACGTCCAGGCCCTGGCCACCCACCTCAGGACGCTGGCGCCTGGGAAGTGGAGAAGCCTCAGTGCTCAGGTGGAGAGGGACATCGAGAAGTTGGACAACATCTTCAGGAAGCACAGGGTGAGCCGTGGCCCCCCCCGGGTAGGCTGGGTGCTGGAGGGGAGGCTTTGTTCTCTCTTTCCAGCTCTCATCCCTCCTGGGCCCCCGCCTGGGCCGGGTGTGCTGTCCTCACCCAAACCACACTCAGACCCGCCAGCACTGGGTCTCGAATCCCCCGCCCCCAAGGCTGGGGCACCTGCTTCCATGGCGACGCTGTGAGATAGGGGTGGGGATGTCGCCACGGGGGGCAGGGAGGAGGCAGGCTTCCCCGGGACAGCCTGTGGGGAGCTCAGGAGGTAACTTCGGCAGGACCAGGCAGCTCTGACGAGCAGCGCCCGCCCTGGGGCCTGAGGGGTAGACCTGGGCTGTGGGCCTGCGGGTGGGTGAGGGGAATGGGTGCCCCGGAGAGAGGAGGCGCTCAGCTGCCAGCACTCCCCGCAGGGTCCTGGCTTGGACGGCCCGCAGGAACTCATCTTGGAGATCTTCCAGCTCAGCGAGAACACGGGCAGGGAGACTGTGAATAATTGGCTGGCCTCCTTCAGGGACAGATTCCCGGGTTATCTGAGGTATGAAGGAGAATAAGGGGCTGGGGAGGGGGTTGGTAGAGAGGGGGAAGTGGGCCTGTGGAGGTGGGGTGCTGCCAGGGGCCCAGGTGGGGGCAAGGCCACACCAAAGCACAGGCCCCAGGTATGGGGGGTTGGTAGCTGCCAGGGACTGAGAACCCCAAGCTGGAGTCTCACAGCTCATTGACCTCTATTCCCAGGTAGGGAAACTGAGGCCTGAGAGCAAGGGGGTGTTGGCAAGGACTTGCCCAGAGTCCTCAGCAAAACTTGGCAGGCAGTGCAGGACCATCACCCACCTGGGGTCTTTTGACTGGGCGGCACCCACAGACTGCTCCCCCCCCCGCCCCGTTCCCAGAGTTCCCAGGGCTCTGTGGTAGGTCGGCTGGGGGTCCCCAGAGGGAAGGATGAGTGGAGACTTGGGGAACGTGCTGGCGTCTCAGCCTCCCTGAAGGACGCTGCTCTGGACTTCATCTGTGCACACTCCTGGGTGCACAGACCACGTGGTCACAGGGGCACGGACCTGGAGGCTCACCGGGCACAGACACTCTCTCCTCACTCCCTAGCCCGCCGGACCAGCCACGCAGCTCTGCGGACTTGGAGGTGGAAGTCAAGGGAAGGTGCTGCTGCTGCTGCTGCCCAGCTCTGCACAGGTGACCAAGGGTGCAAGGCTCCAGAACACCCCTCCAGGGGAGATGATGGGGCAGGTCCTAGCCATGGCCAGGGCCGTGGCTTCAGGGGTGCAGAGGGAACCAGGTTGAAGGGCACGGCCAGAGCGAGGTCCAGTTGCTGTAGCAGATGATGCACCGCCAGCCTGGGTCCTGCACCTTGCGCCCCAGGCCAGCCCTTCTCAAACGTCTTGATCTCAGGACCCCTTTCCTCTGAACAGTTACCGAATTTACGTACTGTAGCCTATGTGGTTATATCTAAGAGCTACCGTATTAGAAGTTAAAGCCAAGAAATATTTGGTAATTCATTTACAATATTGGGTAAAATACTGGTAATTCACTAAATAGAAGATGAGTATTTATTCATTCACTATAAATGAAGTAAATGACAATATATTATTTATATGCGAGTATATAGATTTGAAAATAAATTAGCATTTATATAAAATAATACTGTTTGGGTATATGAATGTGTTTTAAAATAATAATAAACCCATAACATGTTAACATTATGGCAAATAATGATTTTTAAGTGAAGAGATTATTTTCTGCAATAACAACAAGAAACTTGACAATATGGGTGTCATTGTTTTATATTTTTGGAAAATCTTTGTCTGGTTTACTAGGAGACAGGTAGATCCTCATTTATTGGCTGCTGTGTTTAATCTGTTGTCACATGTTTTGGTTGAAGTGTGTAAGGAAGGTCCAGCCTCTCATAGACCAATTACAGTTGGGAAAAGAGAAGGCATTTTAATACCTCTTAGGAAACTGTGGCCAGTCTGCTTTGATACCACACCCACAATGGATGGGTGGTAGTTTATTAAAGATTAGGATGTAGGGGCACCTGGGTGGCTCAGTCAGTTAAGCATCCGACTTCGGCTCAGGTCATGATCTCACGGTTCGTGGGTTCGAGCCCCGCGTCGGGCTCTGTGCTGACAGCTCAGAGCCTGGAGCCTGTTTCAGATTCTGTGTCTCCCTCTCTCTCTGACCCTCCCCTTCTCACACTGTCTCTCTTTCTCTCTCTCTCTCAGAAATAAATAAAACATTAAAAATATTAAAAAAAAAAAAGATTAGGATGTAGATTCTGAAACCAGCATGATGAATTTGATGAAATTTGCATGCTCTGCTGTAGGAAAATCCCTTGGTCTACATTGCGCTTTGAAACAGCTCTTCTACCCATACGTGATTTTGTAGCATTGAGTGTTTGTCACCTGGCAAACAGGTTCACAGAGTGATGCGGACATAGATGTCAGCATGTTTTATCAGACCTTGTCCATAAGGCACCTTTGTTAACCATGCTGTCAGTTTCATCTGTAGCTGTTGTGAATCCCAAGCTCACAGTGGAAGACACATGTTTTCCAAAATCCTAATTTTGGCTCGAGAGCTCAAAATTTTATCATTGGCAACAAATACCGTCCGTTGTTTACCCTGAACTGGCCAGCTCACGTCATTCATTTCCAAGAAAATGCACTCAACAACCGAAGAGTCTGTCCACGGGTCATTCTTTCAAGTAAAAGTGGTGTTCCATAAAACGAGTGGCTAGTTCAGCTTGTAACTCAAATGTCAATTGCACAGGTGCTTTTCCTCAGAGGAGGAAACCTGCTCCGACCTGTCCAGGGGTACCCCAAAGGAAGGCTGGCGTCGGCACAAAGGAATGGACACAGAGAGCTCAAGTGAACCAATCTGGACAATTTATTGATTCTTCAGCAAGCTTATATATGCTTTCTACTTTCTATATGTTTGCATCAAGCTTTTGTTTTTATTCTCAGAATGTTTCCAGGGAATTCATCTGTGAGGAAGCTTTCTGGTTATTTCCTTGTGCTTCTGCTCTTTTACTTTTTAGAGTTAATCTTTAATCTTACTAATTCTATGCCTTACAAGCTAGAGGGCTAATTCTGTTTTCTATATTTATAGTATCATTTGTTATAGCTGAGACAGGTGGAGCCTATTCTTTAGAGAAATTGAAGCATGACTGCTTTCTTAGTATCTATCCTTTCTGTAACCTTCTACAGGGACATGTTTTCTTTAGAGTGCCTTTAATGATCAACTAACTGCTAAGTTATAGGGAAATGCCTACTAAGATAAATAAGCTGATTGAATAGCAGAAGAGATATCAGTACCTTCACTTTCAGAGAACTGCTGTGCGGTGTTCTCTTGTGGGCTTCGTGGGCTGTGCCATCAGGTGGGTGATGAAGTTCGGCTCCCGGCACCTCAGGGCAGCTGTTGTCTTTCGCTGTGCAACACAAGGGCTAGGTACAAACTGTGTGTTTCTTCATGTAGGATATTAAGAAATTGTGCAGTCACAGATTGAGATTTAATAAGAGTAATGATTTTTCTCTTTTATCAGCACCTTTTAAAGTGAAACCAGATTTTTTTTGTGAGTGCATGGTGATGAAGGACACAAGTAGAATTTGGTGCCACTGCTTTGGTGTGGGCCAGGGTTCCAGAAGTTTTATCCGTGATGGCTTTCGGGCCATAGGTGTAAATGTCCACTTGGTGAAAGAGATTTTGACCTCACAGATTCCCTGAAGAATCTCAGGTCTCCGGGATTCCACCGAATATGTTTTGAGAACCACTGATCTAGCTGCACTGGGCCCTTCTTCTGCCCCTGTGCTTCTGTCGGCTGACTTAGTGAGATTATTAATATCTGGTCATTTTTTCCCCCAATAAAAATAGCAAATTCATATGGGTCACACAGATTGTCTCTACATCTTTGTATGTTCTGTTCCACCTACCTGGAGTGCCCTTCCCGTCTGTGAAAGTTCTCCTCCTTCCAGGCCTGGCTCCTAGACCCCCAAGTCTGTTGCTCACTTTCTTTCCCGAGATGCACACACAGTCTTCCTCTGGCCAAGAGCTATCTTGTCTGTTCAGTGGCAAGTGTCTTGATGGCAGAGGCCCTGCTACATTGGTCTTTGTGCCCCCAGGGCCTGGCTGAACTCTGACTGCCCTGAATGGAGGTGGAGGTGAACTGTGGCTTCAGGCGACCTCGGGCTGTAGAAGTTGTGTGGCTCCGGCACCCACCTGAGGCGAAGGATCTGGGTGCCCCTGATCCCAGCACCCACCCCGTGGCCACTTCATGAATGACAGCCTGATATCCAGGAGGAAGCCAGTCCTTCAGAAGTCTGGACTCTTCTATCAGAAGGAATATGTGGGGCATTGACCCTGGAACCCAGCTACCAAGCTAAAGGCAGGCCAGGCCTTGCGGGAAGCCACGTGCCGGTGTCCCAGCCAGCGACCCCCCTGAGGGCCCGGTCAGCAGCCGGTGTGAACCCCAGACGTTCGGGTGAGGAGAGTCTCAAGATTCCTGCAGCTCCAGCCACTGTCTGATGCAGCGTCGGCATTAACTGGTGTCGCACACCTGGACACTTGCCTGGTGTGGACACCCACACGCCTGGTGTCAAAAGAGCTGTGAGTAGAGGGACAGTTGTCCTGCAGCCACAGGAAGCATCCCGGGTGGATGTTTGGTTACCGCCGCCTCCAGGCTGCGTGAGTAATCACAGCGGACAGGCCTCTGGTTAACGCTGGAGTAGGAAGCAGTCGTTTCTCCTTTTCCTTTTTTTTTTTTTTTTTTTTTGTTCTCCTCATCCTTGTTCTCTTTTCTGGAAAATAAAAGAGGAGTTCCGGTACATCTGCATTTGTGCGCGGTGACCCGGACCTTGTATAAGGATTTAAACACTGCGTTAGCAGATACCCTGGGCTCAGGTAGGTAGTATTTTTATATATTGTAAGAGAAACGTGCAGTTTGGGTCTGTAGTTCCTTTTTTAAAATTTTATTTACTTATTTTGAGAGAGAGAGAGCATGCACAAGCAGGGGAGGGGCAGAGAGAGAGGGAGAGAGAGAATCCCAAGCAGGCTCCACACCATCAGCACGGAGCCCAGTGTGGGGCTCGAACCCATGAACCCTGCGATCATGATCTGAGGTGAAACCAAGAGTTGGACGCTTAACTGACCCAGCAATTCAAAAACCTGGGTCTGTATTTGCTTTATGTCCCTAGAGATGTTGAAGAGTTTTAAAATTTAAATTTCCAGGTGTTTATAAGACTGGTTTCGTTGGCTGATACCGTAGATGCTGGGACTTACTCGTCTGTAGCCTGAGCGTCCCCGACGCCGCCAGGCCTCGTCCACAGGCCACAGCTGGTCCCTCCCTGGGACGCTGCTCAGGTCACTGTCCTCGCCCCAGGAGGACCCTCAGCTTGGTGGGGAGGCCCAAACAGTCAGGAACACACCCACCTCCCGCGCGCCTTTCTTCCAGCCCCGGCCCATCCCGAGAAGAGCCCTTTGAGTTCTCAGAGCCCCCCCTCTGCCAACCTGCGGTGTCTTTGCGCTACCTCTCAGCTGGCGCAGCGCTTTTAGATTGCTTGCTTGCATAACGTGCTGGGCACAGTGCCCCTCGCCCTCTCCCCGTGGTCCAGCCCCGGGTCCAAGGGGCGGACAGTGTGGCCGTCCATCGGCTGTCCCTGGGGCTCTGCCTCCTCGGCCAAGCGTGTCAGGACTTCTGGATCCTTCCCAGCCGTGGTCCCGCCCCTCTGGGTCAGAAACGACCCCGGGGACACAGTCCTGGGCCTGAGTCAGAGAAAAGAGGGCTTGCTGGGTGGAGAGAGGAAGGGGCGGGGGGTGCCCAAGACCCTGAGCTCGGGAGGGAGGTGGCAGCAGCAGGCGGGGGGCCAGAGGGCAGCGAGGAGGAGGAGGGATGAGCCACTTCTTTCTTCAAACATGAGGGACGTGAGGCCCTTCGTTTGGACTCCAGACCCCCGGCCCCCGCACAGCCACCGAATCCTGCTGCTCTAGGGACTAGGAGACAGCTTATGAAGGGACAGCCCCTCCCCAGGCTTACCCTGACCTGCGGGGCCTGAGCAGCAGACTTTTCCCACCCCCACTAACAGGCTATAAAAAACCCTCACCACCCAACCACGGCACGACTTCCCGACTCCCCTCTCTGGAGTCGAGGAACTTCGCCTGAGGGTGCAGGCAATAAAAATCCTTCTGCGGAACAGTCTTATTTTACTCACCTAAAAAACCTTGCAAACACAAAACAAGAGGGGCGCCTGGGTGGCTCAGTCGGTTAAGCGTCCGACTTCGGCTCAGGTCATGATCTCACGGTTCGTGGGTTCGAGCCCCGCGTCGGGCTCTGTGCTGACAGCTCAGAGCCTGGAGCCTGTTTTGGATTCTGTGTCTGCCTCTCTGACCCTCCCTTGCTCTCTCTCTCTCTCTCTCTCTCTCTCAGAAATAAATAAAAAAACAAAAACAAAAAACCCCAAAAGACTCAAGCCATACATGTTATTGAAAACCATCCCAGACTGGTGCCAGGTGGTGGGCACTGACCCTCTCCGGAGGACAGCGTCTTCATGCTGGGTGTCAGGTTAGCCTGACAGAAGTGCTCGGGAGGGGCAGACAGGGAGGGAGAGAGAGGACCTTAAGCAGGCTCCACACTCAGAGCAGAGCCTGATGTAGGGCTTGAACCCATGACCCTGGGATCATGGCCTGAACCTAAATCAAGAGTCGAACCCTTAACCGACTGAGCCACCCAGGGGCCCCTACAAGTGGTTTTGGAAGGACAAGGAACTCCATGCAAAAATAAGCGAGCACACAAGGGTGGAGGAGGGCGGGGAAGGCAGGCAGGCGGGCAGAGACCTGGGCTCCCGGCACAGACTGCGGTACTAACTGTGTCTGAAGAAAGAAATACGAGCTTGGACGCATCTGTAGGGCAGATGCTGACTCCCCCACTGGGGATTCCTTGCGGCCTTACTGAGGCTCCTTTGGGACCTCTCGGGGAGCAGAGTCGCCAGGGTCATAAGAACCCTGTTCTGAGTCCCCCTTTCCTGAGCCTCCTGCACGTGCAGGGAAGTTCCCGCTCCCCGCCTCCTGTGCGGCGGGCCACCGACGCGGCCCAGCCTCCGGAAATGCATCAGGTGCCCTGGCCAGGACACTGGTCACACGGTCACAGGGGCTGCTCCTATGTCAGTGGAGGCCCCATATTCACTTTACGCTCGGCCCCAGCGCCCAGGTCCAGTCCCGCCCGACTCTGTCCAGTCCCTGCGAGCACGCGTTTTCCGGAAGCTGCAACTCCTTCCGCAGGTAAGCTAGTCCCCTGGAGTCGAGGCCAGACGACCCTGATTTGTCCCAACCCTGGTTGTTGATCTGAAGGCATGTGGGTAGGAGAGGTGGGTGTGATCTTCTGAGACAGCTGCGCTGGAGGCGGGGGCAGGCCCCCCAGTGTGGGGGGTGCTCTCCTCGTCCACACGAGAGGGGCTTGTATCTGCCAGTGGCAGTGGCAGTGTTCAAGTTCCCAGAGCCCCCGCACCCCCACCCCAGACATCCCCATGTTGGACCCCAGGTGCCCACGTGGACGTCAAGGCTGCGCATCTCCCCCGGGGCTCCACCGCCTTCCTTAGCACAGGAGCCGAGCTCGCGGGTCCGCTGCGGCCACAGGCTAGCAGTGCTTTGAGGAAATGCTGCCACCAAGATGTTCAGCCTTCCAGCGCCACCTCTGCGTTCACCCACTTGGCGGACGGTCCCCTGGGGCCAGCCGAGTCCACCTGGGGGCCCTGCCTCGCGGCAGCTTGAATCCCAGCTGGCTGGTCTCTGCTTCACCACCTGAGCGCCTTCCCAGGTGCCACGGCGCGGGCTTGCTCCGTGGCCACCCCACCCTGGAAGTCCCCAGGCTTTACACTCGCTCCCAAGTACCCTCAACAGATGGGCAAGGAGAGTCTGGCGGTGAGCAGCCTAGTTTCTCTGGAACATTCCACACGGTCCTTCCAAGGGTTCCCAATGGGATGAGCCCTAATTGCCAACGATCGGGAGCCCACTCACCAGTGTACTTTCACTGGATGCTGGAAGTCAGCCTAGGACTGGATTTGAAGGGCGGCAGAGCTGAAAATGCTTGTGTCTCCTACACCGAGGATGGGGCTCTGAGAGGAGCAGAGTGGCTTGCTGGGCGCGGGGGTGGGGATGTCTGGACGGAGGAGTCTGAGGATCATCTACCCCAGGCCCCTGTGAGCCTGCAGCTGCAGAAGCCGGGAGACCAGCCCTTTCCCCGGCAGTCTACAGAGCCCCCACCTGGGCCAGGTGACTTGCAAGACGATGCTAGTCTAGGTCCGTTGAGGCAATGGCTTATCACGTCCCAGCAGGAAATGGAGTCATTGCTCTGGGGTAGGGGAATCGCTTCCTCACCGAAGGGACGCGGCACCCGGCCGAAAGCCACCGGCTGACTGCAGAAGAGGCCCGAAGACCCAGCCTGAAACCGCCAGCAGGGCGAGGTGGGGACAGGCGGTCAGATGGATAGAAATGAGCAAGTAGGGATTTGTCTATTTCTCTTTGTGGCTCAGTTTTGCTTCAACTCTTAAGAGAGATTGTTGAAACTCTTAGAGATGCATAAACGTTTAGGATTGTTATGTTCTCTGGATTAATAGACCTCTTTGCTCTTGTCATCTCTGATAATAATCCTTTCTCTGAAATCTTTTATCTGATGTTATAAGAGCCACGTAGCTTTCCTTTGGCTTGACGTGCCACATCTTTTTCCATCCTATTGCTTTTAGCCATTTTATCTTCATATTTATTTATTTATTTTTTATTATTATTTTTTAATGTTTTTATTTATTTCTGAGAGAGAGAGAGGCAGTGAGCACAGGAGGGTCAGAGAGAGAGGGAGACACAGAATCTGAAGCAGCTCCAGGCTCTGAGCTGTCAGCACAGAGCCCGACACGGGGCTCGAACCCACGAACTGTGAGATCATGACCAGAGCCGAAGTCGGACGCTTAACCAACTGAGACCCCCAGGCGCCCCATATTTTATCTTCATATTTAAAGTGGGTTCCTTATAGGGAACATACAGTTTTGTGGGGTTTTTTAAACCAAATCTGACAATTTCTGCCATTTTGCCAGGGAGTTTGGACCATTTGCATTTATGCGATCATGTCTGTATTCCTTCTTTCCTCTGCGTCATTATTTGTCTGTTTTAACCGCTTGCTTCCTCTTATCCTTACGGGTTCTCTTTTCCTATTTGTTGAATGCCTGGTCCTGGGAAATCAGAGGATAGGAAGTTCACCTTTTTGGTGCTGGGTATTTTTATAGTCTGTGGATTCTCTTGATCATTGCCCTGGGAGGCAGTTAAGTTACCTGGAAACAGTGAGATCTTTGGAGACTTGCATTTAAGTTAAGGACCCAGGCAGGATTTAGTCCAGGGTGAATCCTCCCTGCCCCTGTGCACCTGCGCCTAGTCGGGGAAACAGAGTGGGCGCACGTGTTCGCCAAAGTCAGGGCCAGGGTCGTCCCCAGCAGGACCCTCAGGAGGGCCCTTACCGGAGCAACCTCACGGCTGTCAACAGTAGATTGGAGAAGTCCACTATCCCTGAAGGCTCAGCAAAGGGAATGGGTGGATGAGAGCTGCACACGGCCCCCCATAGGATCCCGCCAGGTGAGCCCTGAGAGACGCCGGATGCGAAGAATCCGTGTTGGCGCGTGCACGTCCCTGGGCTGGAGGCTGAGCAGATGAGGCTCACTCTGGTGTTAGAGGGAACCGTGTTCTGGTGTTAGAGGCTTGCCTGTGGGCAGGACAGGCAGGGCTTGCGGGGGGCTGGCACACCGGCACT